ATAGTGATAGAGTATCTCCCTCCAGGGTTGTTGTGAAGATGAAATGAATTAGTATATGATAGGAGCTTTGAACAGTGTTTGGCACCTGATTAGCACTTAATATGTATTAATTATTCTTACTATTTGGGGAATTTAAATTATAGTGCCCATTCAGAGAAAGACTATTTTTCTTTGGTGGTGGTGGTGGTGAGTGATCAGGTCATGGCACACACTGAATTAAACTTAACATAAATGAAAGGAAGATGTGCTTTTTAAGCCTCTTCTTTGAACAGCTTCCAAAGAAATAGTGATTCTCTTTCTTACTATCACCATTCTTTTTCCCAGTATTTATTTCTCTTATATTTGTTACTCAAACATTTACTAAACATTTAGGCCTAGTACCATATTTAGTCTTAGGGTCTCATTAAGACTAAAGGTAAAGGAGTTTTCTGTGGTTTATGTTAGGGATCTTAGAGCTTAAGTGAGTTATATCAGGACTTTACCAGCAATTTTTTTTTTTTTAATGGGAATGAGTCCACTGGTAGCACATTAAAGCATAAATTGCGTTTTAACGGGGTTTTATTCTATCACAATAGGGAAAACCCTTAAACTAGGGCAATGTTAAATACAGAATGAACACTTTTCATATTAAAGTACTTTATGACTATTACTTTGGACAATGATGATCAAACACTAAACAAAGGTATCAAAATTCTTTGGATTTCATCAAGTCCTGATGTGGACTTCACAAAGATTAGACATTGGAGTAACAAACACCCTGGGGATTCCTGTAGCCTGTTCTTCTTTGACTTAAACCAGAGGTAAATCAACTTCCATATGGGGAACATTCTGACTGCCTTTACTTCCCCAGAATAGCACAATGTCAGTGAATTCCCTGAAACCCTGGAATGCACAAATGACACAAAAACGGTTTTCTCAACATTACAAATTATTAAAACTCAGAATTGGGTGAGGCCTAGAAGTTAACTACCATCCCCAACATCCTCCGTTATTCTAAAGCGCCTACATATTTGAATTCTTTCTACTAAAATCCTGATATACAGCCATAGCTTCAACAATAAGAAACAATAACTCTCCCTTCCTTTATGATCTTAACCTACTTGGGCTCTTGCAATCTCTGCTTTAAGTTTTTCATGAATCAGCTTTATGACAAGCCATTGTATAATTTTTCTGAGAATTAAAGTCTAGCTCACAATTTTATGATTTGAGAGATGAGATGCTACACTTTCCCATTTATGGTAACATAAAGATTTAGGCAAAGGGTTGTTAAAGGTGTACCACTGGGAGGAAGAATCAGTGAATTCAGTTTTTGTTGTTATTCCCCTTTTTAAAAGTTTAATTTAACCTGTGGGTATTTATACAAATCTAGATCCAGGAGCTAAGCATCAAGTAACATTTAACACAATGAAAATCACCCTTAAGCTGGAAAAATCATACCATACTTCCAAATATGAAATACTTTATTCATTTGGCCTCCAAATTCTACACTCCAGAATCCAACCAGTTCAGATTGAGCTGTCCGAAGATGTATGTTCTTTTTAACGTTTTCCAGAAACTCATTCATCTTTGAGGGCTTAAGGCAATAAGTACGAAATTCATAGAATGTTCCATCATATTGTCTGGGGCCTGTAGCAAAAGATGAGCACACCTGAAGAGAGACAAGGCAAATTTAAATATTTTGGGAAGGTAGGGTTTATAATACTGTTACAACCAAATCTGAATCTAGAAATAAGGGACACATTAGAATCATAATCCATGTTTGTACTTTTTTTGTGATCTCTCCTTAGACATTCATTTAGAGGAAAATGTCAACAAAGATAACTAATCTTAAGTATGCTGAATATATGGTTACTGTTTCTTAGCAGGGATCCATTGTTAGCCACTTTTTCATGAAATTTAATCATAAGAAGAGACTAGGGTGTTAATAAGAGTTCTTTACTCAAGAACTATAATTAGGATTCTAGTAAACTTGCAGAGTCTTCCCTTATTTAGCCAATATTCTATTTTTAGTCAGTACTATCTGTGTTACAGTTATGCATTTAAGGGAACTCTATAAAATATGCAGGTGTTTTGGCCAGCAGAATGGAAATGTGTTTACTAGCAAAAAACTTCTTTTTAGGTTTTTCCTAAAAATAAAAATGTCTGTTCAGGTCAAAGTTATTTCCCAAATCCAATGAAGTAGATCACTGGTAAAAAAAATAGGAATGGAGTGTAACTTACGCTAAAGAAAGCTATAATCTCATCCAACTGCAATATAACATAGTAGTGGACTGTATGAATGCTATAAAGGAAAAATCAAGTTACAATTGTCTGAATCATTAGGCTTAATTACAGATGCAACGTGAAGTAGGGCATTTAATCCATCCAATTATACCAGATTGATGAAAATACCCCTTAAGAACCATTTGTTTTTGTTGTATGCTACCTATATAAATTTTTCTTCTAATTTAGTCCCCCAAGTCTGAATGAATTTACCTTTAGGTAGGAAATGTCTTGCCAGAGATTATCCTCTGTGATGTATATGTATGTATGTGTGCATGTGTATACATTCACACCCACACAGTCCTATGGCATTTTCACTTACAAATTCTTCTTACTGTAGGTTTGGTTACCATGTGCCCGTTTCATGAAGCTTATTAAGTTTCATGAGATTTATTAATCAGAATTATTTATTAAAAGTCTTGATACAAAGCTATGAACAAATTTTGGGCTTATATGACTACGTGGTACATGAAATGAAACCAGTAGGCTTCCTTATACATAATTTAGGTCAAAACACACAATTTGTCTATGTATTTCATTTGTGTATAATGTCACAATTATATATTTGAGTTCATTCCATTCATGTCCACTGAGTTATATTCCTATTGCCCAAGTGTCTAAGCTTATTTGGAAAGCAAGTATTCCCTCCAAAAACTATTGCGTATATTTCTATTTTTGCTGGACCTGCTTTTTGTGCCACTTTAACCAAATTTTAACAAGAGAATGTTATGCAAATAAACAACTGCCTAGTATTACAGTTTAAAAAGTATTTTAAACAAAATAGATCTGAAAACGGAACAGCCTAGTATTTATAACAATTGCTTTTAAGTCGTTTTTCAGGGTGTTGGTATTTGGAAACAAATTTGTGGTCACAGGCATGTAGTTTTATTATCTTTCAAAGAAAAAACAGTATGAGGAAAAGTTCATGGAAAAGTTAACATCAGTGAGATAAGTGTGTGTGTTTAGGGGGAGGTGATTTTTGTTAAGGGCAGAAACTACAATTATTCTGGAGAAGGTTTCATGAGTGTTCTAGGCTCCCTGATATCCAAATAAGGGCTCATTTTCCACAGCACTGACTTTTCAATTCACTTATAACGGAACATCTGGCTGACATTTAATAAAGTCAGTGCAGAGTAAATTTGTAAGGAATAAACTCTTGGCTCTGCCCCAGTAGAGTGAGAATCAGTAAATATTAAAGACTGTTTTGCTCCTCCTGGGTGAATGGGCCATCATCGGTTCTCTAGTCTTCACCAGAAACTTAAGTCTCCAGAGTAGGCTAACCCCTGGTGATCAGAAAGAAGTGCAAGCCTAAATATTAAAAAACAAAACAAAACAAAACAAAAAAAACCAAAAACTGTAGATTCACAGAATAGGTCAAGTTCCAGCAATTAAGGTTGAATCACAAAAATCCTTTATGCACGTTTCTCACCAAAGGTTAAGTGCAGCTGTTGCAATCAGGTTCGCCAGGAGGTTCCGGGCCCCCTGGCTTGGCCACGCCCGCGCGAGGCGGTGGGCAGGGGGCGGGGGGGGGGGGCAGGACGCTCCGCGCCCGCGCCGCACCCCGCCCAGCCCGGCCGCCTCTCCGGGGTTCTCCGCAAAACCCTTGCAGGTTGTGCACGTTTCGTTTACACGGGGGAGCCCGGTTCTGCGGCCAGCGGCCGGCTGACCTATGTCTCCACCTTCGGTCTGGAGGGAGCGGCGGCCTGTCCAAGGACAAATCAATACTAAAGGCTCGACCAGCAAGTACCGGGCACCGGCCACAACGTGGTGGGGAACTCAGCGGGGCTGCGAGGCAAACACGCAGCCGCCAGAGCTCAGCAAGTGTCCTCAGGGCCGCCTGGCACCCACGCCAGAAAAGTCCTGCCCGCGGTTGCTCGCGACTTGGCCGGGGGGCGGCAGCGGCCGGGGGCCCTCCCTCCACCCGCGACCCTCTTCTACCCGCGCCCCCCGGCGCACCCGGCGCGGGGGGTCCGGGGCGGACTTCGGAGCCAGAGCCGTGCGCGCATGCGCGGCTCCGCAGGCCCGGGCGCCCAGGCCGGGGGGCGCATGCGCGGGACGGCGAGCTCCCCGCGGACGCCCCTCCCCGCCCCCAGGGCCCGGCCTGGGCTCGTCTCCGCCGCCGGTACCTGAGGCGCGAGCGTCCGCGCAGCCAGAGCCGCAGCCAGGCGGCTTCGGAGGACGAGCATGGCGTGGCTTGCAGCGCCGGGAAGGGCAGCCGGCCGGGACTCTTCCCTGGAGCCCCCGGGTTGGGGCGGACCCGCCTGGAGAAGAGCGGCGACGGCGCTGCGGGCCGAAGGCGGCAGGGGCGGGCCTCGGGGCCGCGGGCTCCGCCTCCGCTCCGCTCCGCTCCGCTGGCGGGAGGCGCGGCGGCCCCGCCCCGGAGGCTGGCGTCCTGCGGGCCCGGCGCGTCCGGGCGGCACGTGCCCGGGGCCCCGCCGCTGTCCCCGCGCGTCAGCGGGGCCGAGGGGACGGTCCGAACGCGCCGGGGGCTCCCGCGCCGGCGGCTGCGCCCGTGGCGTCGTGGCGTCGTGGCCTCGTGGCGTCGTGGCCTCGTGGCGTCGTGGCCTCGTGGCGTCGTGGCCTCGTGGCGTCGTGGCCTCGTGTGCGCGCGCACCTGCCGCCGCTCCTCCGAGCGCGTGCGCGGACGGCGAGGGCGCGGGGGCTGCCGCGCGGGGAGGCCCGCAGTGCGCGCCCGGGTCGTCTTGGGGGGAGGGCGGGGGTATGTAAAGCCGGGGCGTCGCTCTTCCTCCTGGAGTGGATTCCTTGTTTTTTTGTTTGTTTTTTAGAAGAACCATTTTTTTTTAAGATTTTATTTTTAAATAATCTCTACACCCAACATGGAGCTCGAACTCCCGACTTTGAGATCAAGACTCGAATGCTCCATCGGCTGAGCCAGCTAAGTGCCCCAACAATGCCATTTTTTTGGGGGGGGGATTTATTTATTTATTCATGAGAAACACAGACAGAGAGAGAGAGAGGCAGAGACCCAGGCAGAGGGAGAAGCAGGCCCCATGCAGGGAGCCTGACATGGGACTCGATCCCGGGACCCCAGGGTCACGCCCTGGGTGGAAGGGGCAGGCGCTGAACCGCTGAGCCAGCCAGGGATCCCCAACAATGCCAATTTTAAATAAGACCGTAATCATCTCAAAGGCCAGATCACTTAGTTTTCTTCATTTATACATCAACGACAACCTTATTTTCTTAATAGTTTTCTATTTACATTCATATCAAACATTAGATACAGGGCATATTCTTAAAGTACAATGCCAGTTTATAGGAAGGTATGGTCTGAAACAGTGAGGCCCACCCAGCCTGTTACTTTAGAGTGTATATTGAAATTTAAAAGAATTCCATAATATTCTGGGATGTCAAAATTAGAGTTCAGCCACTGTTCTCCCAATACGTAAGTTCTACTCACCCTTAAAACATGTTGGTAAGAGATGTAAAAAGCTCATCCCATTTCAGTAATTCTTTAAAACGCCAAACTCTTAAATAATGGGGTTTTCCTTATGTAAACTCAGTGGGGACTCCCTGTCCCTAATCGCCACCCCCCATGACTTCATAAGGCTCCTGATGTGATTGAAATGGTGTTTCTTCAGGAGCTCATTGGAATCAGGGTACAGAACTAAGTATTAAAAAGTCAAATAGCTTTGTAAGCCTTAAAAAGCATACCAGCCGACCTCGGATCTTATCCTCCCTATGCCTGGTTATCAGTCCCCAGAATGACTATTTTCAACATTTTCCAGTTGTTTTTTCCAATGATTTTTTTTCTCTCTTTCTACATTACAGGCTTTTTCTAGAGTGTCTTGATATCCTCAGTTATAGATAGTATCTGTTGCTTGGAAAATGAGGGTTTAGGTCTCCTACAGACTACTCTCCAAAATAACCTTTCCTTCCACATTGATAATAGGTATATTAGAAATAGTTATTTATCACAGTATATTAAAAATAGTTAATTGTCACAATTTATAGTATATTAATGTTTACATTTCTATTACAAAGTACATTACATAATCACACAATACATAAACAGAGTCACAGTTACACAATAGTCACATTATTACTTTTTAAAAGATTTTATTTATTTATTTGATCAACAGCACCAGCAAGGGAAGCAGCAGAGGGAGAGGGAGAAATAGGCTCCCCAGTGAACAGGGCGCCCACCTTGGGATTGGATCCCAGGACCCTGAGATCATGACCTGAGCCACCCAAGTGCCCCCAATAGTTACATTATTGCACACGTTGCAATAGTACTGCTTATCAAGAATAGGAAATTTTACCAGTGGTTGGTTGGTTGTGCCTTCTTCAAGGACTCAAATTATCTGCTCAGAGGAGGGAGTCTTTTTTAAAATTGTAATTCCAGAGGGAGTGATTAAGGTTTTCTGGGTGATGGGCATCCTTTTTAACCAAGTAAGACAAAGCAAAGCAATATTTCTTTATTTCTCTTCCCCTCCCCTTTTTTAAAAATCAGAAATAATATTCTCTTTTTGTTTCCTGGGTTCATAATTTATATCTCGGAGGACATTAATCACAGTTGTTTATTTTTTAGTTATTGTTGTGGGTTTCTTCTTGAATTGTTTCAAGTTTTGTTGTGTTTTTATCATTTGATTTGTTTTCTGCCATGGTACTAGTGTTTTTCCCAAGCTATTTTTGCATTTGCAGTGAAACAAAAAAATTTTTTTTGAAAGTTCTTTGAGTATGGGTGTGGCCTGTCACATAGTTTCACTGTAGGGTTTTCTTTTATTTCACTGAGGGTAAAAAAAAAAAAAACCATTTATTATCATCCATAAGTAATTTCTCTTAAGCCTAGTCAGTTACCCTGTGAGGAAACTTCCAGATTCCCACCTGTGAGTTACAAGCCTTACTGCAAGTTTTCTGTGACTGAGGAGGGAAGGAGGCTGGATATCTCATTATTTGGTAAGTAGTCATTCACTTAATTTGTTTAGGACTGGTACTGGCCCCTTTAGTTGTATCTGGTACTTCTGAATGTGGTTCACATTTTCAAGAATATATTAAATAGGACAAGCTAAACTTCTGTAACAAATAGACACCAAATGGATAATGTCTCAGACACAAGATTTTATTTCTTGTTCCTTAAGAATCTAAAATAGGTTTTCCTAGTTGGCAGGCAGCTCTTCTATACATAGTGAAATCCAGACTTCTACCCAGTGGTTTTGCCATCCATAGAAACCCCATCACCAACTGCATCTAGCCAGCAGAAAGGTAGAGAGAATTTCCAAGATGAAAATATTTAACAGATTACTATCTGTGACTCACTCTCTGTAATTCACTATCACTATAAAATTTATGGCTATAACTTAGGGAAAACATTGGTAAGTGCTACTAGGTGCCTAAGACAATCTCTTGTTCACTCACAGGTTTCTTTCTTTCTTTCTTTTTTTTTTTTTTTTTGTAAGATTTTATTTATTTATCCATGAGAGACACACACACAGAGAGAGAGAGAGAGAGAGACAGAGACACAGGCAGAGGGAGAAGCAGGCTTCATGCAGGGAGCCCGATGTGGGACTCAATCCCAGGTCTCCAGGATCATGTCCTGGGCCAAAGGCAGCACTAAACCACTGAGCCACCTGGGCTGCCCCACTCACAGGTTTCAGTCATCCTCAAAACTTTATGAGTTCAACTTTACTTCCAAGTGAGGAAGGTGAAGTTCTGAGAGAATTAAGTTTCTTAGGTCCACTGCTGCTAAGTGGCACATCCAGGGTTTAAAGCCAGATTGAAAACCAGTTCATTTCACCACATATTTTTTAAGATGTGTGATAGAAAATAGCCGCTATACATCATTAAAAAAACATGAAATAAATGTTCTTATGTGACATTTTGTTTTGAAATAATCCCTGAACTGCACAGAATGTAAAGTATATTGAAAACTACTGTTGTATATACTAAATTTCTGGCAAGCAGTCCAAAACCAAATAAACCTGAAATATTAAAATAGGCTAATGTGATATAGAGCAATTGGGTGGTTATTTTAGACTAGGGGGACTAAGATTGCCTTTCTTTTTTTTTTAATTTTTATTTATTTATGATAGTCACACAGAGAGAGAGAGAGAGGCAGAGACATAGGCAGAGGGAGAAGCGGGCTCCATGCACTGGGAGCCTGACGTGGGATTCGATCCCGGGTCTCCAGGATCGCGCCCTGGGCCAAAGGCAGGCGCCAAACCGCTGCGCCACCCAGGGATCCCAAGATTGCCTTCCTTAAGAGGTAATATGAAACATGTATTATATATACAAAAGTCGATGTGTCAGTACACTTTAAAAAATAATACATTGAAAGCCTATTACCCTGCCACTAAGAAAGAAATTAAATATTGTCAGTAATTTAGAAGCCCAATACATGTTCCTTTGAGGTCACATTCTCCTTCCTACAACACCTTCCCCAACCTCCTTGCCTCAAGCAACCATGGTCCCAGAATTTTGTGTTCATCATCACATTCATTTTCATTGAAGTTCAATTACGTTTGTCTATATCTCTAAACAATATATTGCATTGGTTTGCCTATTTTAGAACTTTCTATAAGTGGAATCAGACTATTTTGTCATTCTGTTAGTTGATTCTCAGCTTTGAAATGAGGTTTTCAGAAATCATGTATTTCGATGCTGTCAGAGTAATTGATACATTTCTCTGCAATATGCTGTTCCACTGTATGGACATATATTTGTCCATTTGATATTGAACAAAGATGTTTTGAATTTTTAAATAGATAATTCCTGTTTCCACATGAAGAATTTCTATAGAGCAGGAGTTTTTAACCTTTAGAACCCTTTGGAAATCTTGTAGGCCTGTGGAACTATAGGGGGTGAGGGCACTCATAAAAAATACTTATTTTCAGTTAGAAGTTGGTGACAATTGTTAAAAAGCAAAATAAAACTGAGTAAATTTTGAAGATGTAATTGCTTTTATTAAATGATTCATGATAGGGCACCTGGGTGGCTCAGGTCATGATCTCAGGGTCCTGGGATCAAGCCCCAAGTTGGGCTTTGTGTTCATCTGGGTGCCTGCTTGAGGATTCTCTTTCTCCCTTTCCCTCTGCCCCTCCTTCTGCTCTTGAGTTCTCTCTCTCAAATAAATAAATTTTTAAAAATGATTCATGAATTGGACAACATTGCAATCTAGCAAGTGGAGAGATACTCTGAGGAGTTGTACAAAATGGAAGGTTTTTGTAGGAAGGAGGATGCAAGAAAGTTACGAGCAAAAGGAAAGAAAAGAGGATTGTTCTAGGTAAGGTCACTTTCCCTTGGTGGTGGTGAAGGGGAAGAGCAAGAGTTCTTTTTTTTTTCTAAAGACTATTTATTCATGAGAGACACACAGAGAGACAGAGACACAGGCAGAGGGAGCAGCAGACTCCCTGTGGGGAGCCCGATGTAGGACTCGACCCCAGGACCCTTGGATCAGGGTCTGAGACAAAGGCAGATGCTCAGCCATTGAGCCACCTAGGCATCCCAAGAGCAGGAGTTCTTATCATGCAGATTACCTCATCTTCATTTTGCTGGGGGGATGGAAAGGGCCATGTACTGACTCAGTGGTACCTATGAGAAGATTCCTGGCTGAGCAGTTAAGATTACATTTCTGGGAAAGGTTGATACCACAATTAGATTGGTTATTAAGCCCTGGTTTACTGATTTGGGGCCATAACCCAAGTGATGCCACTTTGGGCCAGTGTTTCTGTTTTTTTAAACATAATAAAGATATTATTTTTTCCCATCTAATTTACCAGGTCCTCCGATTTCTTCCATAGATACCTTTGGGGATCTGTGTATCAGAGGTTAGAAACAACTGTGTTGACTATATACCTAGGAATGGAATTGCTGAGTCATAAGATATGTACCATATTCATCTTTACTAAACAGTGTCAGACTATTTTATAAATTTATACCCTAATCACAGTGTATGGGGTTTTTCTGACCAATTTTTTATACTGTTCATTTGTTTTGATTAGTAGTCTGATGCATTTTTACACCTTACATAACAAATAGGTATCAAGTTAAAGGGTGGAGGAAATTACAGGAGGTAGCAAAGGCAACAATCCACCTGATTCTGATTCACTCACTGATTCACATGGATTTGAATCACCTGTTTCTGCATGGTTTTGTCCAAACGTCCAGCTCATGCAGATCTGCAGAAGGAAGCAGGAGAGGTGGATCCAGTGCTGTCCCAACTGAGTACAAAGGAGGGCAGTACCTACCTGTAATTGGTGACATCTCTGGGTAAGTACCTTAACTGATGTATTCTTAGGCTACTAGATGGTGGTATAGACCACCTTTCCTTCATTAAAGTGTGGCCTGTGTGCTATTTTTGTTGTAATTTCTGAGTTCCTGTCATTGAAGCTATAGTTACTTAGTGTGGAGTTACCTCCCAGTTCTCTTTTTTGTGTTCATGATACAGGATTATGTATTGGAGGAGGAGATTTTCAGTAAAGACTGTTAAAGAACAAAAATTCAAGTTTGAAATTTGAAGATGTGAAGATGTAATTGGCTTTATTCAAAAATTCATGAATTGGTCAGCATCTCTTTGAGTAAATAGACAGGTACTTGGAAGAGTTGTGCAAACTGGAATAGTTTTAGAGGCAGAAGGAGGGTATTAGCAAAAGGAAGTTATTAGCAAAAGAGAAAGGATTATTTCATGTCTGGTCATCTTTTTAGGGGAAAGAAATGAAGGGAATGGCAGGGATCTTATGAAGATTACTAGTGCTGATCAGGAAATTTCAGTTTGACTGTTCAAGGTCGCACTACTGGGAAAGTGGAAGCTGCTGTTAAGTCTTGGTTTGCTGTTATGGGTGCAAATGACTCCATTCTGGGTCTGTTGTTTCTTTCCTAACAAGGCGAATTACTATTAATGTTTATGGGTTTCTTTTCTTTATTTTTATAATTATTTATAAAAGTAATTGGAAATAAAAAATAATTCCAATTTTTCATTCAGTGTTTCTTAAAAAGTTTTCTACTCATGTCAGTGAATATTTTTGTTAAGCACCTGTTGAATGTTGTGCTTTGAGTTAAAAGCTGTGAGGGAAGGAAAATAGACTGCACACTTTTTCAGCTTGTCAGCATGTCTTGATATTTCTGTATCAGCCTCCTTGTTGTTAGTCCTTTTGGAATTACTAGCAGGAAAGATTTGTGAGCAACTCAGTATTAAATATAGTATGAATTTCTTTGAAGTTGTTTCTATTTAAATTGTTTTTATTACTAAAACACATGAACATGTTTAATGTATATTATTATATCCCTTTATATCCTATATTGATACCTCCTTCTTTCCCTTGAGTCATGAGGGATGAAATGCAACTGCAGTTTTCTTTGTCACAAGATTGGTGAAAAAACATGATAAATTGAGTAAACAGCAAATAGAAGACTTTGCAGAAAAGCTGATGGCCATCTTGTTTGAAACCTACAGAAGTCACTGGTACTCTGCCCTTCCAAAGGGCAAGCCTTCAGGTGTATCAGGATAAATAATAATCAATAAAGATCCCATTCTGGAAAGGGTTTGTGCTGAAAGTAACATGGATTTTTCTCACCTGGGACTTCCAAAGGAGATGACCGTATGGGTAGATCCCTTTGAAGTGTGCTGTAGGTATGGTGAGAAAAATCATCCATTTACAATTGCTTCTTTTAAAGGCAGGTGGGAGGAATGGGAGCTTACCCAGCAGATCAGCTTTTCCGTTAATAGAGCCACTTTAGACCACACCTCAGGCATTTCCTCTGTTGAAGAAAGTTGTAACAAAGAACCTCAGATCATTCCTAAAGTCAGTAATCCGAAGAGTATATATCAGGTTGAAAACTTAAAACAGCCCTTTCAATCTTGGTTCCATGTCTCCCGGAAAAAGAATATGGCACATGGCCGTATGGGCCTCCTAGGGAACACTTCTCATGCATTGCATAAACATCCTAAAGGTCAGAGGCCTGCTGCTAACCACCGGGTGGACAGGTACCACTGGGTGAACACAAACCGATAATGCAGTGGCTGGGCACCTCATGGGATAGAGCTCAGAGGAGCTGCTTTATTTTCTTTAAAACAGAAGAGAATCTAAGGTTGTGAAGCCCACGAAACAGAAAAAGTACTCCCATCAGGGACTAGGGTACCGTAAAGGTGAATCCTTTCACACAGATCATGACTATGTTCTTAGCTGTGCTTTTAATTCGTATGTAATTTTATGTGAAGTTTTATGTAACACTAACGAATGTATTCAGTAAGGTAATAGAATGAAGATATTGACCTGGGATGATTCAATGAATTATGAAAAGCAACAGTTTAAATAAACACACTATGTTTTTTTTTTAAAGGTATTATTGGCTTTATGTTTTGCATTTAAAAGTGAATTCTAGTGCTAGTAGCATTTTAAAACTTATCATTAATAAATATAATTATTTCTCGAAAAAGGCTTGGCAAGTCTATTGCTTTGAGTAATTTTTGTGCCTCCCAGTGAGCTGTGGAGAGGTTACGGGAGGAGTATTTCCAGAACTTTAGCTACTTGTTTTAGATTGTTACTAAATAAGTTGGCTTTCTCCCTCATATGAATTGAGATACTTTTTAGCTTAAAACACTCACTTAGTTTTGATATATTTTTTTACTAAGTTCTTTTTACAAATGAAGATCCATTATCCAGTGCTCTCCAGTATAATTATTTTAACCTGTCATAGACACCTACTGAATGAGTAATTACTTCACTTTTTAATGTATTTTAGCTTTACTCGCCAATCATTGTTCCTGCAGCATTTTTATGATTTTTAAAAAATATTTATCTATCTATCTATCTATTTATTTATTTATTTGAGACAGAGAGAGGCAGAGACACAGGCAGAGGGAGAAACAGGCTCCAGCCAGGGAGGCTGACATGGGATTCGATCCAGGGTCTCCAGGATCATGCCCTGGGCCAAAGGCGGCGCTAAACCGCTGAGCCACCTGGGCTGCCGTATAATTTTTTTTATGTGAGAAATAATTTAATTTACATTTTTCTGAATTCTTGCGAATTCAGCATCTTTTCATAATTTTGTAGGCCATATTGTTCTCATTTTTTGAGGTCTTACCTTATTACTGTTGCTTAATTTTCTGTTGTATTGTTCATTTTTATCTTACTGATTTCAAGTCTTGCTGGAAAAGCATGAAAAAGAAGATCAAGGCGATGTCAAAACTGCCTAAGATAGTAGGTGACCTTAAAAAAAAAAAAAAAAGATAGTAGGGGACCTTCAGTGTTGGCTTCTTGCATAATCCAGAGAAACAGACCTGCTCAGTGGGATGGACAGCAATCCCAGTCCTGCTTCCTGCCACTCACACATTGCAGGCAAGTGATTTCTCTGTGCCTCCATGTCCTCATCTTTAGAATGAAGATGATGTACCTATGACATAGGGTTGTTATGTGGATTGAAATAAATGCTTAGAAGGGGCCTGTCGTTAAGGAGTGCTCTGTGTGTGTGTGTGTGTGTGTGTGTGTGTGTGTGTGCACACGTGTGAGTTTTATTGCAGAGGATAGCCTAACAAGGACTGAGTTTAGAAAAATTGGCTGGGCAAATTCAGCTATCATAAGCTGAGAAATGATACATCCAGATGCACTTGATATATAAACTTATTGGAAACGTGATTTTTCTCTAAATTGATGCTTAGCTGCAAATTGACAAAAAGGTAGCCAGAGAGGTCAGAAAAAAATGGACAGAGAAGACTCATTACAGTGTTGCCTGCATGTCAGTGTTTGCATGCTCAGTGGCTTGATCAGAAGAAAATGATCCTACTCTCTAAAATCAAGAAGTACAGAGCAAGCATGTGCAGAGTCTTCCCCACAGACCAAGTGGGTAATGCAGAGAGTCGGAGTTTGGAGCACACAGACCTGGTTTGGAATTCTGGGGCTGCTACTTATTGGCTGTGTGACCTTGGGCAAGTTCCTTAGTCTCTCTGAGCTCAATTCCCTTGTTTGTTGATTGGTGATAATGTTACTACTAGTTAGGGTTGTAACGATAAGGAAATGAGGTAATTGTCACCTAGTATTTTCCCATAAAGAAGGACTAAGGTAATTATGCTTTTTGAGGCCATTACCTGGTGACAGTGGCTGCTGTTCCTTTCAGAGCATGGGATCTGACTGGGTCATTCCATCTTGGTCTGCAGATTCCAAGTGAGACTACTGAGGCCACAGAAGTGACTTCACATGGGTAGAGATCGTAGTAGAGATGGAGGCAGGCTTCAGGTCTTCAGGCTCCTGGTGCAGGGCTGGTTGTCTCGGCCTTTCTCTGAGCTGAGCTGGGCTCACAGCCCTTGATGGGGTCTTCCTCAGGTCTCCAGAGGGAAGGGGGCAGGACCCCTTGTTCTGAGTCACCCTGACATGTGACCCCTGTGCACTCTGTAGGGTTTTTAGCTGGGTGCCTCTGCTAGGTGGCCACGGCCTCGGGCCTTGTGCTGTCAGCCTCCAGAAATGCCCCAGAGGGAAGGGGCATTTTCAGCATCTGCTGCTTCCCAGCTTCCATGAGTGCCTTGGTGGAGCTTTGTCTGGGGCCCATAATGCTTGTTTGCGTGCTGGCTGGTCCAGGAGGCTAGCTGGGCGCGTAGGGTCTTGCCCCATGCCTTGTTTCCTAACATTTGCCCTTGGTTTGTAATTTCCTTTCCCCTCTGTGCCCTGGTCGTAGATCGTCCTGCCAGCTGTGTTTGTCTGCATTGCTCTGGTGTTCAGCCTGATTGTGCCCCCCTTTGGCAAGTACCCCAGCCTGGAACTTCAGCCCTGGGTGTACAACGAACAGTACACATTTGTCAGGTATGTGTCTGCCTCCTGCGCCCCGGGAGAGAAGAGAGCTCAGGCTGACCAAGGGTGTTTGTGCTACTGAGGGCCAAGGGGAGGTGGACCCTGGGATCGCTCAGTGGAGTGGCCTTGATCAGCCCTTGAAAGCTCCTCCACAGACTAATGTTGGATGCAGAGAACAACAAATTGAACCTCAGATAATAGACCAGTCCTCTGTTGTCATATTTGAACTTTTCTCCTCTTTATACTAGTATTGCCATCTACAATATGTATTTTAACAAAATAAGCTGCCCTTCTAACTCCTATGATTAAGTTGTAAATATATTTGGATATTTACAGCTATGTTAATTTTATAGTTGAATCAAAGTATTTGTATACACTGTACCTCTAGGAAGTCAATACTTTTTTTTTTTTACCACAATGCAATTCTTGAATTTTTATCTCTTAAGTTGTAGATACTAGCTAGTATTTATTCTTTAGACAAAAGTACCCCTCATTTTCTAACAAACAATCCAGTACTTCAAACAAAAGGTTAAAGGAATTTCTTAATCTTGTTAGGCAGAAATTTTCTTCATTCTGTAGGATTTATAGATCTTCAGATGGGGGAGAAATATCAGTGATATAAAAAACAAGGGATGTTGGAGCACCTGGGTGGCTCAGTGGGTTCAGCTTTTGACTCTTGACTTGCGCTTAGATCATGATCTCAGGGTCATGATATGTAGCCCTGCATTGGCTCAGAGCTTAGTGGTCTGCTTAAGATTCTCTGTCCCTCTCCCTTTGCTCCTCCCCCTTGCACTTGTGCTCTCTCTGTCTCTATTTCTCTCTCTCTAAGATAAATAAATCTTTAAAAAAAAAACAAGGGAAGCTTTTTTTAAAAAAAGTTATATATGCACACACATATGGTATATATATGTATATATATGCTATATGTACACATTTTATACACATAGTATATATAGTATATACTATAGTATGCATGGTATATATACACATATAGTATGTACACATATAGTATGTATACTGTACATACTAGTGTGTGTATATATACATTGTATATATGGTATGGTATGTGTATTTGTGTATGTGTGTGTGTGTATCTATGTCCATATATATACACACATATCTCAGGTTTACTTTATTCTTTATTTTCCAGGCTTAGCTTGTATTGCTCATGGCTGCAGAACATGGGCTTATTTATAATTTGTGCTCATTATTGTTTATATTTTTCAGTTATCCATGCAAGTATTCAGCCAATAAAGTCTCCCTGGCCTTTGTAGAAAATCCTGGTTGTTAGTGCCTAATGGATAATTGTGAAAGTACTTTTGAAATACTGATCCTTACTAAGTTTGTGAAAGTGCTTTTTTTTTTTTTTTAAAGTAGTCTCCATGCCCAGAGTGGGCCTTGAACTCATGACCCTGAGATCAAGACCTGAGCTGAGATCAAGAGTCAGGTGCTTAACTGATTGAGCCACTTAGGCCACCCTGAAAGTACTTTTAAAATACAGATCCTTAATAAGTTTCTTTACTTCACATATGCAAATGTATATTATGTATGTGTGTGTTTATATATATGTATGCTCACACATACTTTATATATATTTATACAGTTTCTACTCTGGAGTCCTGTTTATTATCCATCATATCAAATAAATGGCTAGTGTCTAAGGTCTGTGTTTTATTTATTTTTGTGTTAAGAACCTAGCACTCAAAAAAAAAAAAAAAGAACCTAGCACTCAGGAAGTGTTTAATAAAGCATTTACTTTGAAAACCCTTTTTACCTCCCAATTCCTGTTTTTTAATGAACTACTGAACTGGCTGCTTCTCATCTCATGTACCCACAGTGATGACACTCCTGAGAACATGGGTACCCAGGAACTCTTGAATGCCCTCATCGAAGATGCTGGCTTTAGGATCCAACATATGGAAGAAAAACCAATCCTCAGAGTGCTGTTTTAGACTCTCCTTGATTGGTTTCTTGTGGTTGTCACCTGATCTCCTCTCTTAACATTGCATTTATCAGCTGCATGCCACACTCTGACTACCATCATTTGCACTTTGAATCATTTTTTATCTTAAAAAAGCTAATATGCTGACTTAATTGGAATATCTAGAAACGAACATTTGGAGAACATTCTAACATCTTGTAAAGCAAATCATTATAGCTTTTTTTTTTTTTTTTTTTTTTTACTGCTGTAGCATATTAATATTTAATTTAATAGCACTTCATACTTAATGGTCAGATCAGTAAGTCTCCCTCTCCCATCCACTCCTGTACTTAAGTTTTGTAATGGGCTGCTCCATTATATATAATTTTTGGTTTTGCTAATCAGCTTTTTCACTTTGACAACCTGAAAACATAATATACTTACTTTTTATGATAATTCATAGTTTTCTTTTAAACATGTATTTTTTATGACACTGGTCTTCAAAATCCTTTTTCAGGCACTGTATAAACAAATTCAGTGAATGCCCATAAGGCTCTAAGTGTCTGGGTGGGGAGGGCAAAGGTACATCAAAGGATCACTGAGTAAAGACAATGAAGAGAGATGAGGAGCTTTTGAGAGCCAATGCTGGGAGAGGTGGGTTCAATTTTCTAGGCTAGAAAGACAAAAGAGACATAAATGCTCGGCTTTGATGAAGAGTACCATTGATGTGTATTGGAGGCAGTCTGAAGGCAAGATCTCTGTACTGACAATGCTTTCTGAAATTCAGGTTTTTTTTTTTTTTTTTAAATTTTCTTTTTTTTTTTTTTTTTTTTAAATTTATGATAGTCACAGAGAGAGAGAGAGAGAGAGAGAGAGAGAGGCAGAGACACAGGCAGAGGGAGAAGCAGGCCCCATGCACCGGGAGCCCGACGTGGGATTCGATCCCAGGTCTCCAGGATCGCGCCCTGGGCCAAAGGCAGGCGCCAAACCGCTGCGCCACCCAGGGATCCCTGAAATTCAGGTTTTAAGCTCCTTAAAAAGTGGTATAACTGAGGGAAATTTGGGACACTTAGTAGTGGCATTTAACTTTATCTTAGCCCATCATCTTCTGGAGGTTTTAGAGTATGAACTTCAGGAGGGCACCGTGTCTTGACTTTTCCATCAAGTCATAGTACTTTAGAGAGAACTAGGGAGCAATCCACAAATCTGTTCTTTTGATATTTTTAGTACATACAAGAATGACATAAAGAGTGTGGCTGTGCTTTGTAGAATTTTGCAACAGGAAGGGATACTAGAAATGCCTTGTTTCAACATGTCATTTTGTACTTTTATTTTACTGGTGGAGAAGGGCAAGAGTCTTGGTGGTTCGCAGTGATTCAGAGCTCAAGTCAGGCATAAAGGCCTTGTGATGCTTGCAAACAACCTAGCTCTTCATGTACTGAGCACCCTCCCCACATCTCCTCCAAACCCCAATTCTGTACTCATTTTAAAACGTAAAGTGAATCTTGCCACTCCCCACCAGATTTATAGCACATTGGACATAACATGCAGACTCCTTCCCAGGCCTGGGTCATCTGGCCATCCTCCACCCTCATCTCCCAGTATTCTCTCTCCTATGTCATCCTGTCCCAGCCCACTGCCTTCCTGCTGTTCCTCAAACATGGGAAGTTCATTTCTTTTGGGGGGCTTTGTTCTAATACTTTATATTGCCCTGGTTTATAATGTATTTCTCCTCAAATCTTTCCCTGACTTCTAATTGTGTATGCCTTGGAAGAAGGCAGTAGCCTCTCTTCCCTTGATTCACTGTCTTCTTAGTTTTTTTTCTGCCTAAGTGACATTTGTTTATTGCCATATTCCTCTAGAGGAATGCAAGCTCTATGAAGGCAGGGACTTTGTCTTGTTTACCCCAGACTCTCAAATATGCAGAACAATGTCTGACACATAGTTGATGCTCAGTAAATATTCGATGAATGAACACAGGGGCAAGAGACCTGATGCCAGTGGATTGGGTTGACTGGAGTTTGGTATATGAACATTTAGGACCTCTTTGTATTCTTTCATCCTTAACTGTAAAGTAAGTCTGCAGCTTACAGATTAACGAACAGTGAGGGGATAGGTGCATGTTTGTGGTTGTTATTGATTGATCTGTGCTCCTGAGCCAACGGGAAAGGCCAGATCCTCTCGGGTGATGCTACCTTGATATCTTCCCTTTGCAGAGATGTGCCCTGCTCAGTGGGGGAGGAGGAGTGGACCACCGCCCCAGTTCCCCAGACCATCGCAGACCTCTTCCAAAATGGGAACTGGATGATAGAGAATCCCTCACCCACCTGCCATGTAGCAGTGACAAAATCAAGATCTGTCCGTGTGTCCTCTGGGGGCAGGGGGCCTGCCTCCCCCACAGGTGAGTCGCTCTCTGTGTGACTGAGCAGGTAGTGGTGCAGGGCAGGCTGGGAAGCTTCTGCTTGGGAAGAAGGAATGGCTGACCTGTCATGTCAGGGTGTTGTCTTTCAGTCTTGATTTTAATTCTTATCACAGAGAAAAAAGCATGTGAGTTCTGAGGGGGAGGGATTTGGTCTACAGTTCCTAGGTCTTAGCTTGTTTCTCTATTTTGAGAGGTGAGCCGAGGTTACTTACTTGTTTGAGTTAAAACCAGAACACGACACTCTGCTCAGTGGGCCAGACGCAGTGGAAGACACAGTCTGGCCTCTCCCACTGAGGTGATGCAACAGAACACACTGTGACAGGCCCGGTGTCATCCGTGGTTCTGCCACAGAGGAGCTGGTGATGTGGGACAGGCCACTCAGTTCCCCGGGCCTGTTTCCTTGTCTCCGAATTAGGGAGGCTGGCCCATAAAACTTTTGTGGGTCTTAAAACTGACATTCTGAGATTGTGAGTGTTGGGGAACAGTTCTGAGCCTTTTTACTGAGAACAATTTCAGGAAGATTCTCAATCACTTCCTCTGACTCAAAGGATTCCATTAGGGATGTCTGGGTGGCTCAGTGGTTGAGCATCTGCCTTTGGCTCTGGTCATGATCCTGGGTCCTGGGATCGAGTCCACCAGGCTCCCTGTGGGGATCCTGCTTCTCCTTCTGCATATGTCTCTGCCTCTCTCTGTGGGTCTCTAATGAATAAATAAAATGTTTAAAAACAAAGCAAAACCATAAAAACCCAAAGGATTCCATTAAGCAAGTGAAGAAACACTTGAAGCTAGCTAGGCTATTTTATCTATCCCAAGATCTGTCAGAAAAGTGGGCCCAGCGTTGCTGGTATGTGGGAGTCATTGGTAGGTCAATCAGATCACCTAGCTGCTTATTGTTTAGGACTTTTGCAAAGCCATCACTAGTATTTAGTGATTGTGCACCAGCCAAGACTGAACTACTCTGTATATTTAATATTTGAAAGTGTTTATCATGTATATGGAACGTGGCAATCTTCTTTTATCTCCTACACAGTATCAATATAGGTCATTAGGAATTTTATATAATACTCTGTATAATGGGCTGATAGGACCATTTTTATAACCAGAATCTTAGAATTTTTCTTTCTTTCTTTAGAATTTCTATATCTATTAGATTGATATGCTATATACTATTGTTTTTAAATTTATTTACAGCTGGAAGAATTTGAGTAGTTTCACGTTAATATTTCCATACCTACTAAGTTTTCAAGCCACATACCTTTGTGAGAATTACAATCTGCTCCTCTTTCAAGGTTAGGAACAGTGGACCGAAGTGAATGCCATTAGGACATTTTCACCTCTTTCAGTAGTTTCATTATGGTACTGGACTCTTAATTCAATGAGATGTACTCTTAATTCAATGAGATGTTATCCATTTGTTTTTCAGATTTTTTACTTGAAAATTATCACGTTTAAACTCCTAAAAATGTGCTTTGGGATGCCCGGGTGGCTGAGTGGTTGAGTATCTGCCTTTGGCTCAGGGCGTGATCCCAGGATGCTGGAATCGAGTCCCACTTCGGGCTCCCTGCAGGGAGCCTTCTTTTCCCTCTGCTTATGTCTCTGCCTTTCATGAATAAATGAAATCTTTAAAAATAAATTTATCTTATTTATTGAACAGATGTTTTTCCCTGGGCTATTCATCAGATATTTGTGTGTATATTTGTATGTATGTGTCCTCCTTGATTATGTTCTCAGCATCAGTGATTCCTTAGATCCAGGCTGACTTTATCCGTCCAGGAAGAGCATGACAGTGGGCATCCTTGTTTCCATCTATGTTATCTTTTAAAACATTCTTTGTCTCAGCAAGCTTTGTTGTGTTTGTGATCCAGGAGTGGGTCAGTGAAGCAAAGCACCCGCAGTTAGTTCATCAGCAGAGGGTAGCCTGTCATGTACTGGCTCTCCAGTTTTTTGTGGGATATGTTAAGAACACCCATCTGCTGCTGCTTTCTAAATCTCCATCAGGGCTATGGACTGGATGAAAGAGCCCTTGTGTCTTCTAAAAGTGTTCTAGCTAATCTAAAGATGAATGAAAAGGGGAAAGGCAGAAGCAGCTGTATGTTTTCATGACACAGAGCTGATTTTATGCCTGAGAGAAAATCTGTACACTGATGGCAAATAATACTACTATCACCTAATTTGCTAAGTGACAACTTTTCAAAGAAACACTGAGGTAGAAGACTCTTAGTCAAAACTCAGGTTTTTACCTGCAGAATTAGGGTGTTCTTTGCCTTACTAGTAAACTTATCTGTCCTTTGAATTCTTGAGGACTAGATAAGTAAGAGAGGTAAGTATGCTTGCTGTTTTTCAGTTTTCCCTCAGCTAATAATTTCCTCTGCTGTATTTGCAATATATATTAGAAACATCAAATCACATAGCTGTAAATACAGACTACCATGAGAGCTTGGAAATACCAGATCTAGTTTAAGAAGGCTAAGGTACTCAACTAAAATAAAAAAAGTTCTTAATAGGGAAATCCCAGTATACCTGTGACAGTACTAAAGAAATTCTTTGTGGGATTATTAGCATGCTATTTACTTGAGGTAACTTAACACTTAACAATAAAGACAATGTATTTATTACTATCTCATTACCTTATAGCAAAACAATAGTTCCAGGTAAGAGGATACAGATATGAAACACAATAAAAAGAATCAGAATGTATCTGTAGGCTTTTATTAGGGCAAACATTTCCATAACCATAAATATCTCATTATCACAGATAGATTATCCCAAGTATCTTTGTTGAATAGTAATCCAAAGTGAAGTTAAAGTTGGTAAAATAAATTGTAATTGAAGACATTTTGGCATATAAAACAATGAGTCTTCAACAGTTTTTAATATGAGGACCTAATAACATTATTTTCCATATAAGTAATTGTTAATGTAAAAAGTATAATTAATAGAGATGATACAGATGATATTGTACTTTTCCATAAAAAAACATATTTAATATTTTTATGAATCCAATTTGGTATTACAAAATAAACTTTACTGGACAAAAACTTTTAAAATTTCAGAAAAATAGACATGAAAAGGTTGACAATATATAAATAATTTTAAAATATAAGCACGGAAATGTAACATAATCATTTCAACATAAGGAAATGCTAAAAAAGCAGAGGGTTATCAAAATAGAGAATAAGAGATATTTTGAAAAAAGAAAAATCAGGATCTTGTAGGAATGACAATTTTTAATGCATGATAGATATTGAAATGCAAAAGGGAAAATGAACAGAACTATTTCCACAAGTCGTGGTGACAATGGACAGAGGTAGCATTTTAAAATGCAAAGGACATAGCAAATTAACTTACCACCTCCTTCAAATAAAAATGAAGATCTCTTGGGAGAATGTAAGCACCTGCTTAGCAGACATGTCTTAGAGCAGTTAATGTAATGCTTTGTATTTCAGTGGAAAACTATTTCAAAGGTGAAAATGATGTAGGAATCAGAAGCATATTCTGCTGAGACTCGAGGAAGTGAACACTTTCTCGAACTGGAAAAAAACATTTCATAAGAAGGCATATAAAGTTAAAAACTGAATCAAATTTGTTGTATGAATAATTCATGCCTAGTGAAATAGCTTACCAGCTGCCACAACCCTGGGATCCTCATGAGACTGATGTCTCCCAGCTGCACGACTGTCTGCACTCTCATTCCACCAAAGAACATGAACTGCAGAAATAAACCAAAAACAGATTCTAAAGACTATGGTATTACTACAAATAAGAAATACAGAAAAATTAATCAGAAACATGAAGTCTTATTCTTTAAATCAAAATAGTGAATATCAAAAAGATAAAATTAAGTATGTTAATAATAAGATTTCAGAGGGGGTCAGAGATTTGGGATAGAAATTTATAAATTAAACTGCTTTTATAGATGAAGGAAAGGGAAAGTAAATAACACACCAAACACACGAGTCTGGAACAAGGCTTCATGACTTCCTAAAACATTTTAGTTTATTTAAAAAGCAAGATTATAAAAGAATTGTCTTTACTATTGAAAATTTAGATAATACAAAGAAGAAAATTAACAGCAGCATAATTTTAACCACCTAGAGAGCAACTCTACTCAAATTTAGTGCAGTTCCTCTGAACAAATGATTAAAATCAAATTAAGGTCATACTATATGTTACACTTAATTATGGATTTTTAAAAATCAACAATGCATACTTTCCATGGCAACCTTAATTTTTAATGGCTATGTGAATTCCTCCCTATAGATATAACAACTTTTTATCCAAGCCCCTGATCAATTAGATTAATATTTGAATATTTTTTGAAGTATGGAATAAACATTTTATGCATATTTTCTTAAATTTTAATAATTACAAAATAAAACTTATTAGCTGTATAGGAAAATGCAGATAAAAAGAGAAAAGAAGAGTCATTTCTACACCACCTAGAAAAAAACTCACTTTTATATTTGCTGTATCTCTTTCCATACTTATGTATATATATGTATTTTTATGAATATATATTTATACACATAAACATATGTTTATAGTTATATAAATGATGTAGACAATATATATTTTTTCTGGATTATACGCATATTACATAAGAAATGTATACTGTAAACAACACTGACATAAACTTCATTAGAACAGCATCTACATGTGTATCTATACCAGCAAAGCTGATTATAACTATTACTAACTAAATTTATTGGGTGTTGACTATGTGCCAGACCTGGTTTTAAGCATTTTGCATGTATTAGCTCATTTAGCCTTCATAATAATTTTAGGTGGTGGATTATTAGTATCATCATTTTATGGATGAGGAAACTAAGGCATAATATGGTTAAGTAACTTACCCAGGGTCACAAAGTTATAAGTGGTAAAGCTGGGATTCAAATCCAGGCAGTCTGGATCTGAATATTTTCTTAATATAAACTCCTAAAATTTAAATTGAGAGAACCAAAGAGTGTATCTTTTATATATATATATATACATATATATATATATATATATACATATACATATATATATACACACACACACTTACAAATATACAGTGTATATATTATACTGTCCTCCAGAAACAAAAGTACTGACTTATAATCAGTATATTACCATTCTCCTAATACATTAAGAATGAATTTGAGATTAAAAAGTTAAAAAGAGTGTGTGCACACATTTTCTTTTTTTTTTTTTTTTTTAAGATTTATTTACTTTGGAGAGAGAGCACGCACATATATGCATGAGTCGGGGGAGGGGCAGAGGGCGAAAGAGAGAATCTTAAGCAGACTCCCCACTGAGTGTGAAACTCAATGCAGGGCTGATTTCAGGACCCATGAGATCATAACCTGAGCTGAAATCATGAATCGGATACGTACCCAACTGAGGAGCCCAGGTGCCTCAAGATTAAAAAGAATGTGTGCACCATATTTTCAATCATTTTTTTCTTGTAAAAGTTATACATGTCCATTATAATAAATTAGAAGCTTAAAAAATCTTTAATCTCATCATTTAAATTTGGCTATGTATTTTATGTCATTTCACATTTCCTAAACACACCTACATATCCATGCATACTTCCTTAATATTGGCAAAAATAATTTAAAAATTCAGGCTTTTTGCCCAAGGCAGCCCCAGACTGGCCTCTTAACACAGAACCAAATCCTGCCCACAACAGGCAAAATATTGCCATTGCAGACACCTGGAATGAAGGCAAATATGGCTCAGCCACAACAGTAAAGTGTATGCAACACACACAGGAGACACCCTGGAAGGGCCAGGTTCTGGTGAATAGGGACATTGCACTGCAAAGTACTACATGACCTCTTCTTCATAATGCCACTACTTTCAAGAGCAGGAGATATAGCTTACTTTCCTAACACACAGAAACAGATGGAGTTAGACAAAATGAAGACACAGAAAGATATGTGCCAAATGAATGAACAGGACAAAAATTCAGCAAAAAAAAAAAAAAAAAAAACAAATGAAACAGAGATAAGCAATATGCCTGATAGAGAATTTAAAGTAATGATCATAAATATTCTCATTAGACTTGAGAAAACAAGGGAGGACCTCAGTGAGACCCTAAAAAAGACAAAATATAAAAAGAACCAGTGGGAGATGGAGAACTTTGTAAGTGAAATTAAAAAAAGACACTAAAGGGAATATATAATAGATTAGAGGAAGCAGAAGAATGGACCAGTGAGCTGGAAGACAGTAATGAAAAGCAATGAAGCTGAAGGGAGAAAGAGAAAAGATAAATTAAAAAAATGAGAATAGGGATCCCTGGGTGGCGCAGCGGTTTGGCGCCTGCCTTTGGCCCAGGGCGCGATCCTGGAGACCCGGGATCGAATCCCACGTCGGGCTCCCGGTGCATGGAGCCTCTTCTCCCTCTGCCTATGTCTCTGCCTCTCTCTCTCTCTCTCTCTCTCTCTCTCTCTCTCTCTCTCTCTGACTATCATAAGTAAATAAAAAAAAATGAGAATAGGTTAAGGGAACTCAGTGACACCATCAAGAGTAATAACATTCTTATTATAGGGATCCCAGAAAAGAGAAAGAAAAGGGGCAGCAAATTTATTTGGTGAAATTTGAAGA